GATTACAGCCTGTGCCACCAACGTGCCCAGCAAGAAAACACAGTTTTGTCCTACAGCTCACCTCCAGAATTTTTGTTAGGAGAAAGGAAGAGAAGCAGAGGTACAAGCTCAAGAGGACAGGCTTATTTCAAGACAAACTTGAGAAGTACTGCTCTGGCACTAGAGACTAGACCAGCTTACTCTCATACAGGCTATAAGGTCTTTTATAGGGTCATGAGCATAAAAAAAGAGGTGGCTGTGGAAGGAAGATGTCATAGCAGGACTTTAAAGGGGGAGATTTCAGCCAGGTGTGGTGGCGTAGGCCTGTAATCACAGCACTTGGGAGGCTGAGGCAGGAGGATCACTTTGAGTTCAAGACCAGCCTGGGCTACATAGTGAGTTCCACGTCAGTCTCAACTACATAGTGAGACCCTGTCTCAAAAAAAAAAAAAAAAAAAAAAAAAAAATTGGGTGGGGAGTTCAGTACAAAAGAGTTGTGGCTATCCACCCAGGATGGGGTTTGAAAATGTACAATGAGTTGTGTTTTGTTTGTCAAGAGCAGGGCTGAACAATGATTGGGAATTCTAGGATGTAGCTGTTCTTACTGGACCTTATCGACCCATGACAGTACATCTACAGCAGATGTAAAAACATAGCAGAGGGGAGGGATTTAAAGTGGTCTCCACTCAGATGAGGATGGCAGTAGTCAGATTCTTTCACTTTCAGCTAGTGTCCTTCCAAGAGCAGAACTGGCTCCAAGTTCCTGAGTACATTGTCTATGTTGTTGAAAGGCCTGTTGGTGTCAACCACCTGGTTCCCTGTTAGTAGGCCCTCAGAGAGGTTAACCTGATTTTGTAGCCTAAATTCAACATTATGATATAAAAGAAGTCTGATACAAGAAATGCCCACAGAACATTCTAAATAAAGCAGGCTTCATTGTAAAGAAAGGAGGTTGTTGGGTTGAAGAATCTTTAAAGTTATCTTCTGAGGGATGAAAGTAGTACTGGCCTATAATTCCCGATAATTAGGAGGCTGAGGCAGGAGGATCACCTCAAATTCAAGGCCAGCCTGAACTACATAGCAACACTGTCTCTAAAAATAAAATAATGCCAGGCATGGTGTCACACACCTGTAATCTGAGTGAGGTCAGCCTGGGCTACATAGTGAGTTGACCAGCCTGAACTACACAGTGAGACCCTGACTCAAAAAAAAAATTGTATGAGGTGTGAGCTCTAAGACAGTTGCTGTATCAGGCAATAGAGATACAGGAAAAAAATAAAGACAATATATTGTTTCCCTAGTGGAAATGGGGGTGGGATGTTGGACACAGACAAACTAAGCAAGATACAGTTTGCAATCTCTCTGGTGGTAATAAATGCTGTGGAAATAAGAGGAAGGAGCCAGGTTGGTGGCCTAGGTCTGTAGTCCCAACACACAGGAGGCTGAGGAGGATCACCACAAATTTGAGGCCAGCCTGGGTTATCTAATGAGTTCAGAGCCAGCCTGAACTGCATAGACTCTGTCTCAAAATAAATTAATAAATAAGAAAGAAGAGGAGCAGGATGTTCTCAGGGGGAAATTGTAACTTTAAGTTGAGCTGTCATTGAAGTCTTGATCCAAAGATGAGCAACCAAGCTAGCAGAATATCTATGCAAAGTGTTCTGGGCAGAAAAATCAGCAAGGGCAAAGGCTGGAATTTTCAAGAACCAGTAAAGAGTCTGGAACTGAGTTGTTTTGGAGTAAGTGCCTCCCATGTCTTTCTTGCAGGTTACTGAGGTAAGTTTGGTTTCTGTAAGAAGGGACATGGAAAGTTGTTTGAGGACTCTGAATAGAGGACTATCATAAGCTAAATTACATGTTTACAGCTGGATGTTTTGTTGAAAATGGATTGAAGATGAGAAAGAAAAGAAACAGGACAGCCTGATAAGAGGTTGCTGCAATATTCCAACCACGGAGGATGGTTCTTGTACCAGTACAGCTATAATAGAAATAGGAGACAGGGCCGGGGATTTAGCTCAGTGGTTCCACTGCCTGCCTCGCAAGCACAAGGACCCATGTTTGATCCCTGGTACAAAAAAAAAAAAAAAAAAAAAAAAAAAAAAAAAAAAAAAACA